ATAAGTGTGTATACACCTACATGTACTTACATATTATGGACATTTGAACCACATATAAAAAGTTATTTATAAGGAATTTGATAGAAACAGGTCTAAGTAGAAGTTCTATGTTCTGCCTAAACCCAGGGGTCATCTTGTGTATTCCATGAGGCTCATCCACTCCATATCCTTGTTTAGGGATGACCATTCCAACCATACAAGAACTTCATTAATGGGCCTCCCCAGTGGCGCAGCGGTTGAGCGCTGGGTTGCGAAGCTGCCCGCAGCCTCTGCAGTGCCGGTTCGATCCCCGGCTACCGAAGGAGGGCCCCACATGGCGCGCAGACCTCTCCTGCCACCCGCTGCTCCCCTCAGCAGTGTACTTCGGTCCTTCTGCCTGCTCTGCTCCCCGCTTTGGCTCTGGTGAATCCTCTCACCCTCCCGCGCTTCTGACTATACCCAGTGCTTGTATAAATAAATAAAAATAAAAAAAAAAAAGAACTTCATTAAAAGCACTTAGCCAAGCTTGGATAATGGCACTGCTATCTTGTTTGTAAATCCATAGTGTTCAGTTATTTATTCAACTAACTATTAATCTCAAGAAATTAATGTGTTGGTAAGATTTAAAGTAGATAACACCCAATTAATTCCAACAATTGTGTTTACAAATAGTATAAATAATGATTAAAAGTACCATCTTTACACTTGACTTATGTTCCAGGAAAGCAATGGGAAAACAAAAACATTAAGGCCAAGAAAAAAAATCACCATTGTGTTATTGGGTAATTGATTTTTTTAAGCTTTCAAAGTAGATAAAATCAACACCTTAAAAGACTTGTCTTTAGCCCAGCCTTTCTTTTTATTAAAGTGTACAATTGAGGGTGCATGCCTAGAGGAGTAATAGTTTGTTCCTTACAAAAGAATCTGGATTCCACAATATCCCTTTTGCCAGAGGCATCGCTCCCCAAAGCATACAGCTAACTGCATCTCCTGCTGTACCTGTAACAATTTAATTGTATAAGTCAGCCTAGTCAAGCATCTCCAGCTCATGACTGGGAGACATGAAATTCATTGTCATTATTGTCCCTGTCATTTTGGATCATTATATCCTGCTGCAGAATTTTCCTCACTTCAGTGCATTTTTACCTCCAGGAGTCAGGGATTATAGCTGAGGTTGGGGTGGGGGCAGGACCGTGAACTACATTTACCTCAGGGGAGCCAGAGATTAAATTGGCTTTGCTCTCTCACGAGCTGAATTCATCTATTTGTGTGCTGTGAGTTTTAGGTTGGAATAAAAATGAATATTCTAGTGAAACCTAGGCTTTAATTTCCCCTTTAAAGCATGGATGTAACTAACTTTTATTTGCATTAAGAAAGGCAATGTAATTTCTTGTAGGTTGCTATTTTCATATGTGCATAAGGAATACTTAAGGGCATCATTGGGTATGAAATAACAGACATCTCTCTCTGCCAGTGCTTTGACTCTGAGAGGAATTTAAGACTTCCATTTTATTCTCCAGTTTTATTTTACGGAAGCTTAATGGGTGTATTTAATGGTTTTAAATATTTAATGATTTTTAATTATATCTCATTTTCTCTACAATGGAATGGAATGGATGACTGGAGTCCAACTTGAATGGCACCAAAGATCTACTCTGTGAAGAGGAAGACTGAAGTAAAGTTCATAGAGGAAGACAAATAAGTTTCTGAGGAAACTGGCTATCCTTTCACATCTGGTTCGCCCAATCTCACAGTCTACTAAGTCACCCAAGTCTGTCATGTCTTAAACACTCCTTGCGCTCCTTAAACACCCCTCTCTACCTAGTAACCCCTATACCAGTGGTGATGGTGATGGCTGGGTTCCAGCTGGTGGCCCTTCTGTAGGAGACAGCAAGAAGCTGGATAGGAAACATTAGGGCATATCTCTGTCAGAAAAACCAGTGAGTTGACTGTATGCTTTCTCTAACAGATTGTAAGAAGGAAATAAACCTGGTATGTCACTTCCCATTCTAACTTTCATTTCATATGGATTTTACTGAGAAATTAGACATCTACTTTGTCTGTATTGAAAACGATAGCAGTTATTCCTTCTTATGTGTGTGTATTTCTTAGCCGTTAACAACATAATACGGCAATGGGTTATACCTATGCCAAGCAGAGAACAGCCACTATAACTATCACATCTAAAATTATATAGAATTTATCTTATCTCTATAGACTTTTGTGGAGGACAAGATATTGCCTTAGTCCTATGCAATGACCATCACTATTTAAGAGGGACTGTTCTTAGGAGTAATTAGAAAAATATTTTGACCTTTGTACATTTTATATTTCAGAGGAAAATCTTACAGCCCTAACACACATGTGAGTGTTGCAGGAAGCTTAAAGATTATCTTAGCCAAGGTCCAAGTGAGTAACAATATTTACTGGTCTGATTATATTTTCACACCATTGTGTTTCATGTTTTCCTGGTGCTGAAGTAATTGTTTGATGTATTACCAAAAAGATTTTTCCTTAGCAAAACTTCCTGTAGCATTTAAAAATTTATCTAATGGCTTGTGCCACTTTTTCATCATAATCAATATTATTCCAAGGTGAGAGTTACAAAACTTGTTACTTATGTGCACTTTAAAAGGGTTAATACTATGTTATAGGAATTCATCTCAATAAATTATTTTTGAAGAAAAATATATACATTTCTACCAAGCAGCTTAAATACATTTTAAAATTGTTTGGGTGACTGCTATTACATTCTAAAAATGGTTAGTTATGAAGAGTATTTTTCTTCTTGTTAAGATGGGTTTATCTTATAAATTGCAATATTTAGACTTCATTTGCAATGGTAAATATTGAGAAATTATTTCTTTTCTGCCTCAAACACTTTGCTAGCAGGTTGTTAATACTATTTTTCTGATCACAGGGTAAGGCATCCCTTGCTTTCGCTGAGCACACATTTAGTGTATTTAATTCCTTAAATTTATGCTCCTTTGTACCTTATTTCCATATTGATATTTAAATTGATTATGATATCTTCAGGTAAAGGAATGCGCTACCTGTGAATGCAGTTGTGAAACCAGAGAACTACACTTTACTTTGTGTTCTTGCTTTGTCTCCCCTCAAGCATGACATGGTTAGGCCTGTATCATTTCAGAACAAGGCTAAAAAGCATATGATTTATTTCAAATGACTTGAATATAATTACTTTTCCCCCTTACATTCAAGATGTGAGATCTTACAGTCAGTTTTCAAATATCAGCTTGAAATTATTTCAAAAATGATTTTTATTTTTTTCAATAATCTTAGCTAAACTGATAATTTTGCAATCTGCGGCCAGCTATAAAAGTCAATTCAAGATTAAAGAAAGATTTCCTCCTCTTGATTCAACAGCATAGTATTTCTACTGCATTATGTGGCTTATATTTCCCTTGATTTCTTCATGTAGAATCAATAGAATCTACAATTCTTAACAATATCAAGCCAACATAATACAGAATATTACAAATTGAGATATGACGCCCATCCATCAATATACCTCTTAAGGTAATTAAAGATACACAAGAAAAAAAAATAAGGTAATTAGTGTTCACTACATCACATGCTGGAGAAAATGAGCAAGTGTTTGAAAGGGTTTGTTTGGGAAGGAAGAGACAAAGGGCACAAACACTTCTGGGTCAAGATGGACAGGATGCTATTTGCAGAATGCCTTCTTACTCCTCCTGGACCAAAAACCTCTTTAATATAATCACCCAATAAACTACAGTGGATTACATTAAGGTCTGATTCAGAGAAAGCAAATTCACAGTTAAGACTGTCCTTTAACATGGAGGCTCAATCAAGGGCACCAAAAAAGTAGTTAAGTAATCCCCCCGTGGTGTTTAGATGCTGGAAGGCACTGAAAATGTGAATTTTCTAGCATTTAATGTTTATCGAAGACCCTTAACATTTTTCTAATATTATTACTCCTAGGACATTTTCTTGAATTTGTCCCCATCGCCCCCTCTGCACATATACATTTTGCACTCACACATGAAGGTCTGACAGACAGCAAAACTGAATCAGAAACTAACAGTGACAAGAAGAAAAAAAAGAGGTGGGGGTGGTTTGATAATATCCTATAATATTAAGTACAAGTATCAAAGGCACCTGAAAAAGCAGAACACAAAAAATATTTCTTCAAGCTAAGAGTTTAGATAATTAATACTAGATACAAAAGATCTGATAATGGGGGTTAAAAAATGAACTCATCTACAAAGCATACTCTGTCCTTTGTGCCACAAAATTTCCAAGAGTTTTTGAGTTTTTGAGTTCAGGTGTCCCCTTATAAATGGATATTCTCAGACTATTTCCCAATTCCGTACAGTCTTTAAAACTACAATAAAATTTCACAAGTCGCTTTTCTTGTTCTGTTTTCTACTGTGGTGATCTAGGGATGTGTTAAGTGGTTAGGTTCCTCAAATAAAAGTGTACAAAACTAGATTGTTCTCTGTCTCTCTCTCCCTCCCCCCCCATACACACACGCAAAATGAATAAAACTGAAACACATGGCAAAAGTTCAAAATGTGTGTCCTGTGCAAAATAGACATGTCAATTTCAGGCCAGAGGGCATTTTCCCCTAGGCTTATAACCCCTTGAAAATAGAGGTTCCATCTAGAAAAACTAACAGTTCCTCAGCTGCTTTCAACACTATAATATATTCATAAGAGAAATACTTGCTGGCAAACATGTAACAAATTAAATGGCACAAGGGTGGAGTCCAAATTCATGACAGGAAAATGTACCAAATCAACCATGAGTTACAAAGTAGAAGTGAAAGAAGAAAAGGAATATGCAAAAATAAACAATATTAAAAGGAAAACACTATGAATAGTTTTTCAACTAATAGTAGAGAAAATGGAGAGTATGTGTGCACATGATTTTTGAGCTATGTAAGATTAGCGTTAAAAGTGAAAGCAAAACGTTCTTAGTAAGAATAAACTATAAGGGCCATGAATAAGAGTACTTTGTAAAAAAAAAGCACATACCATCATAGTAGACAATTGCTCCTACTAGTTTGTCCTTCTGGAGCATTGGGAAATGCTCAAGGGCTCTTGATTTGCTGAGAACATAACTACTTTTCAGGCAATTGCTTCCTGCAACCAGATCATATAGCTTGATTCCTACCCAGTAGTAAGGTAACTGCCACCACCTACAGTATAAAGAGGAGGAAAAATTTCTTCAGAGTACATTACAGAATGTCACTTTAGGTGATAAGATACTTTTTTTTTTAAGATTTATTTATTTATACAAGAACTGGGGTACAGGTCAGAGGCGCGGGAAGGTGAGAGAATACACCAGAGACAGAGCTGGGAGCAGAACAGGCAGATGGACAGAAGACACTACTGAGGAGAGAAGCGGGCAAGGCAGGAGAGGTCTGCTGTGCCATGTGGGATTCTCCCCAGCCATCTGGGAATCGAACCCACGCTGCAGAGACTGAGCACAGCTTCACAGCATGGCTCAACCCGCTGCACCACTGGAGAGGCCCTGATAAGATACTTTTAAGCAAAGAAAATTTTATCTAGATGGGTACTGCAAAAGAAACAAGAGAAAACTGCATGACTTTTTGATGACAACCTAGTGGAATTCTGTAAGTAAATGAAATCATTTGTAAGGCAGTGGACTTGGTCCTACCCTGGTGGCGCAGCGGGTTGAGCGCAGAGCTGTGAAGCTGTCCGCAGCCTCTACAGAACAGGTTTGATTCCCGGCCAGCCTGCAAGAACCCTACATGGCGCAGCAGACCTCTCCTGTCTCGCCCTCTGCTCCACTCAGCAGTGTATTTCACTCAGTCTGCCTGCTCTGTTCTCAGCTCTGTCTCTAGTGAATCCTTTCACCCTCCTGCACGTCTGACCTATATCCCAGTTCTTGTATGTATGAATAAATAAATCTTTTAAAAAAAAAAAAAAGGCAGTGGACTCAACCTGGCTACATATTAGAATTCCCTAGAAAGCATCAAAAGTAATACAGATGCTTGGGACTCACATTTCTAGAAATTTACTTAACTAGCTTTGGTAGGGGAACTACATGACTCTAAAGTACACCCAGAGCAGAGAATCACTAATTTAATCTATGACAGAGTATAGACAAAAAATATGAAATTTGTTTCTAGGTCCCCACAATACTCACATGGCTAACACTTACACGGTTCAATTTTATATTATCTGTATCCAACTGAAGGTGACTTCACAGATAACTCTAATATCAGTAAAATTGGATTTAGTAACTGATAGTCAGATACCTCCAAACCAGTTTTTCAGTTTTCATTAGTTTATAAATTTAAAACTACTCAAAATGGTTTAGGATCAGAATTAGTGCATATTAGGTTTGGATTTTGCAGCAGGATACTATCTGGCTTTGCATTTTGGTCTCCAAATGACCTCCTTACATTCCCCAGTGCAAAAAAAAACTTCTCTTCTACACATCATCAGAAAATTGGATACAGAAATTACTAATTACACATATAAAATACAACCTCTTTTGCTTTGGAGGTATAGCCCGTAGAGATAGGGCAGAAGAGAGCAACTTAGGAAAAGCCACATTTTTAAATATAACAAAGGAAATTATTTGAAAATGATTAACTAGTACAACCAATCAAAACTACATTAAGAAACATACATTAAAACTACTGGACTATTGACCTCAGATAAGCAAATAATAGAAAGATATCAAAGGGCTTACTTGTATACTGGAAGCATTATAGGCAGTGGAGCTGATAAATGGGGAGCAATTTCTAGCAGGTTGGCACGCTCGTGAAGGGCTTCTTTTACCATCCTATACTGAAAAGCAAAACAGAGAAAATTAGTTTGGCAGTAATAGATCATAATATTTTCAAATGGCAAATAGACACCCTGCCAACTGATTGATACACAGAAACCTCTCTTACCTCTGAGCGAGGATAGCTCCCTCCTAATCAAATTTCTAATAATACATCATGCTGTCAACCTGAAAGATTTTTTAGAAACCTTAACTGTATTTGCATAGGAGAAAAACATGCTGTCAGAGTTCCCAGGTGTAAGATATTTTCCTAACTTGAGTTAGAAGATTATTGTAACAATTTATCTTGCATTCTCTGTATTGTCCCCTTTCACAGTTCCCTATATTTCTCATGTAAGAGATAACAGATGGCTCAAATTCACACTCAACCTTTCCTTCTTGTCTCCACTAACCCAAGCAAAAATGACACTCAGGAGTTGAAGAGTATTTTACAGATTATAAAAAAGCTTTTGTCTTAACTCCTTTAGTCATCATGATGCTCTCTGAAGAGCCAACATTACCATTACAATATTAATTTTACAAATGAGAAACCTGAGGCTCACAAAAATTGAATAAATAAGCTGGAACATACCACAAGTCATCTGATTCTAAATCCTATACTCTGCCTTGCATCCATCCTGATGCCAAAAAGATGTAAGAAAGAGGGGCAGTTCAAAATTGACAATGTCAAGTGAGTGCTACTGTATTTTTCATATATGAAAAGCAGATAAAGAGTTCAGATTTTTTTTTGGGGGGGGGCGTCCCTCTGGGAAATGTCACCTTCCACACTGACTGGGCAGTTTTCAAATGGTGTCAGACTGGACAAAATAAATTGCTACATAAGGTAAGCCTAACTCAGATCACCTTTTTCTTGAGAGTATTTCAATGACAATATGAACATATGATTTCAGTTGCAGTTAGGAGGATCAATTTAATATTCCTTCTGTAATGCAATACAGCTCCCCTGAAAATTCTTTGGGAATAGCAATTTGGTGGCCATTGGCAAAAACAAAAACCAAAACCAAAATTGTTATAAGACAACACATCAAAAAGTGATTTTCAAAATCTATACTTTGACATGTCTGTGTAGGAAATTATGTTTATGATCGCTCATAAACATAATATTACAGGAAAGAACTGGAACAGCTCTTCTGAAAGATAGTCCAGCAGAATAGGTATTTCCACAGGAAGAAATGTTAAAAAGCCATAAAAAAAAAAAAAAAAAACCTCATTTAATTGGTTAGAAAAAAAAGAAAGCATAGTTGCAATTTTTGTTTAACAACCAGCATACACAATTACCTGCTCAATATCTAACTTCATGATAGCCTTCTGAAGATATCGCACACCACCATGGATCAATTTAGTGCTTCTGCTGCTGGTCCCTGATGAGAAATCATCTCTTTCTACAAGGGCTGTTTTTAGTCCTGTGTAACCAGAAAACCAAATTAACTTCTTAAATTACACAATTTGTATGTAATTCATTAAAGGCACTTCTCCAGGGTAGAGACAATCACAAGAAAAATTGCTCTGAACATGGATAAATTTGTATTCAAAGTGCAGTACACTGTCTATGTTATAATGAAGAGATTTTAGTCTCTTCCTAGGGGAAAAGTCAAACCAGAACTAGAAGCATATTAAACTGTGAATGAATCACAAACTAGAAAATATTACAGTATAATTTCATGGTAGTATCATAGACTGGTGCATTTAGGGGGTCAAAGGAGGGCCTGGCACCCAACTTTTCCCATGTAGTGTTAACTAGTATTGTTACAAAGTGTTCTGGAACTCACCCCTCACCCAAACACATTCCAGCCCCTCATCTCTAGTCTACTCTAAATTAAATCTGGACTAGACTTCCTATTTGCTGGCTTCTTTTTCTAGAGTGATATAATAATGGGTACAAAATGAGAAAGGAGAAAAAAGAAATCAAGAAAGAAGAAAGAAGAGAATAACCTCTGATACTGAGGAGTTTACAGTCTAACTTAACACAAACAAGTACAATTTTACAGAATTGAAAGCAAAACTACAAGCCAGGACAATGAACCCAGTGCAGAGGATTCACAAGTAAAGGAAAGAAAATATTCTTGGTAACAAAAAACAAAGATAGGTCAGTTGTAGAAAACATCAATCCACCCACAACCCCGTATTTGAGGGTATCAATAAATCTCTTAAAAATAAAATTGCTGGGTTTTGTTTTATTTCCTTGCAGAGACACCAGGCCTGCATCTTCAGGACTGGGTAAGGCCAGCACTACTATAAGTCCCACATGCTATTTAGAGATGAAACCCAAAACTTCAAAAGACCCAAAGTATACATGAACATCAAGCCATGAGGAATTTTCAGGGCCTGGCATACTCCTGGGGGATATGAGAATGTCACAGAATCCAATTACAATGGGAATATATAACTGGAACAGCTTTGGCTCCAAAAGCTCATATAAGAGAATCTGTGCATGTATTCAGTTCAGAGCCATTTATTACATTTAATACCAAAGGGTCGTTTCTATAACTTTTAACAGTTTAAATATCATACCCAAATGTCATCATAAAATCAGGGCAATCCCCTTAATTCAAAAGGAGAAAATATTTGGAAACTGTAGAGAGAAAAGTAGAGAACTCTGATCTCAGGGCAAAAACTGCCAATGCTCTAACTAACCAGCAAAATAACACAGAAATTACAGGTATTGTAGACCCAGATCACTCTTTTAAGCATTTATGCCAGAAAAAGATCTATAAAATCCTAGAATATTTAGTAAATTTACTAGTGGATATTAAAAAAGTCAGTGTCAGGTGTCCACGAGCGCGTGCGTGTATGTGTATTTAATGTGTGTATGTATTTAATGACTACTGAGTGCCTAAAAGCCAGGCAAAGCGCTGAGGTTAGAAATGAATTAGGCATGAACCAAACTGTCAAGTGGCTCCCAGCCAAAGAGAGGCAAGTAAACAAAGTACAGCAGTTCTATAGGTACTACATTTGAAAGTACAGATGACTCATCTTACTATGAGTTAGAAGTTAAATTCAGTGCATGAACCCAAAATTGTGTGGTCAAGATTACATTTGCAATCTTTTAAAAATGCACTGTCTTGGTGAGCTATATCACCTTTTCTTAGTAAGTCCAACACAGAGAGTTCTTCCAGCACTAAAATAGTGTCATTTACTCTTCAGTTGAAGATCAGATGAGGGAGTTGACATTCAAATAGCATTTAAGAGACAGATTATTTAAATATACCTCTTTCTGAACCTTGGAATCAGTCATGGCATCAAGATACCTGTACCACAAGAGGCCTAGACTTAAGACTGGAGAGGAAAAACAGCCTTCCAACCAGCCCATGGGTCACCCCCCACATGGGCTTGCCCAAAGGGTCCTCTGCAGGTTGCAATAGACAGACATCCTCCAGTAACCCCCACTTTCTAGTATCTAGTCCCCTACTCTGGAGCGTGGGATGGAACTAGCCCATTGCTTCTAACAAATGGTGTATAGCAAAAATAAAGGCATGTCACTTCCGTGATTAGGTTTCAAAAGATTAACTTCTGCTCTTTCCAGTACTCTCTCTTGTATGCTCTCTCATACTTGGATGAAGCAAGCTGTCATGTTGTAAGTTAAGGAACTAAGGGAGGTCCCCAAGTCAGAAGGTCATGAGGAACAGAGATCTCAGTGCTATAAACCATGAAGAACTGAATACCACTAACAGCCATGTGAGATGCTAGCAAACACAGAGCCTGGGAGAGACTTGAAGCCAGAGGATCCAGGCTAAGCACACCCAGATTCCTGACCCACTGAACCTGTTGTTTTAAGTCACTATATTTTGGGGACAGTTCACTGATGACACACTTCCCTGTTTAAACAATAACTGCACTGAAGGTAGTAGTTTTTAATGTACTTAGCAATGGAGACATCAGCAAAGGCTGAGTCCACAGAGGAGTATGTGTTCACGATGGCGGGTGGAGGGAAAGGAGGAGGAGGAGAAAGGGACTTATCATTGGCCAAGGCCTGCTTAAGCAAGAAAAAGGCAAGTGCTCGAAATGGTCTGGCTTTCTACAGGACTGTCGTCACTCATGGGCTAGGGTGCAGGGTATGAGGGACGATATGAAGGACAGTCAGTGGGAGGAATAGTGAAAGGCAGATAACAAAGAGTTTTTCATCCACAGTGAGGCATTTGGATCCTGTCCTGCAGACTATAGTTTCTTAAAAGTAAGTAATATCTGGATCTCCTCAAAAGGAAAATGCTCTGAGAACACAGCTACAAGTCATGGATCATCTGGAGAAGAAACTACTTCAAAACAGGAGGTACAAGATATCGCATCAATGCCACACATGCATGAACTTGAACACCATGCTCAGTTACAAACAAGGTTATTCATTTGGAAGAACAAGAAACTGCTTGTTAATTTTTTTAAATTATTATAAAAAAGGAAGAAAACTTAGCTTTATTCCAGAAGTTCTCGAATATCGTTTTAAGAAATACTACTGTGTTCCTGCCAGGGGAACTGCCCAGGTGTTTTAAACTGAGCGATCAGATTACTATTCCAGAAAGATTTCTCTGACTGCACAGGGGAAAGAAAGGCTCGAGGGAAAGAAAGGTTTGCGGCAGGAGACCATTTGGAGGATGGTTGCCACACCGTACAAGCAGGGCAATGAATGTTCCAGCCTCACCAGTCTGAGGATAGATTTAGAGACTGGCACAAAGAGAGTCTTAGGGTCTTTTGCAGTCAGGGTGGATTTTTTTTTCCCCCCCTTCTCCAAACTGACACATTGTGAGGCAGGGAACTACTCTAGGAATTAGCAAGCCATCTCAGGGATATTTCAGGATATTTAAGTGAGAGCTAACACTTTAAAGCCTCAGAATTGCTTTTACAAGTATTGGACATTTTAAAAAGTTATTCACATGTACTTATGTGAGAAACCCTAGTGAATACCAACAAAAGTTAAAATAGACTTCTCTGTCAAACCAGGCTGTTTTTCTATCCTATTATTTCCAGTGTCATATCATTAAGCTATCCCAGCAGAATTTCTAAAGAGAAATAATATTGCTCATTCCATAGCAAAAAGTAAATAATTTTCATCTTTAAAGCTGAATTGATTTATTAAAGTACCATGTAAGCTAAACTTATTATTAAAAGTCTTTTAGAACTACAAAAGAAATATTTAGAAAAACATTTAAGTTTCAATTGCTATGATATACTAAATATTCTGGATTTCTTGTTTTTCTGTGGATGAGAATGATGGAATGAAGAAGGGGAAATATCTTGCAAAGCCAAGATATTATTAGAACTTATAACTACTTCTCATAAATATATTCCTTAACTGATTAACCAACTATAGCAAAGATAATGAAAATTTTTAAATCCTTATGTCTTTCATGATTGTTATGTAATAAGCCCCTCTCTGTTTCACTTCTCAAAAATCCAAAACCTTTTTCCTCCCCTTAAAAATCACTGATCTGAAAAACAGAATTTAGTTTTCCAATACTTAAAATATAAAGCAAGGAACTGGAAAGGGGGTATGATTTTCTCTTCTTAAAGATAATGAAAAATATTTTTAAGTGACATTCTATGCTAACGTTTTGTGTTCTTAGGTAAAATAATTAAGTTTAAAGGACATCAAAAATAACATAAGCCATGTTCTAAGCAACTACTCCTGGCTGTAGATTTGAGGAACTGGCGGAAGGACTAGGGATATATCTGCCCTCAGAGTAAAAAGAATGGCCTTCCCACACAAAGGGCTAGCTTCTCTGTGCATTCAACAGGAATTCGCTAAACTACATTTTATGGGAAATCGTAGTTTTTGTTAGTTTCTTTTCAGCAGTTACTTTTCATGGAAACAGTAAGCTCTGTTACTCCTGAGATGAGCCAGAACACTTAGGAGTGGTAATATTATCTTATTTTTTGTTTGTATTATTGATTACTTTTAGTAGGTAGTGTCAGAATTTCATGATAGTGGTAAAGCATTAATATATGGAGGAAATTACTCTGAAAATCATAGGTGGAATAACAAGATTACTTATAGTAGATAAAAGTAAACTTGAAATCTACCTTTCAATCTTCTTCTGCCCATCTCTTTGCAAGTAAAAATTGTGTCTGGGTGGGGTGAGGGCTGTGAGCTAAACACAACTTTTTAATTTAGCCTTTTCTAACCTGAATGAGAAACACTCCCACTAAACTAACTCATGGATCAAGACAGTTGGATGAATATAGAGGGATAATTACCATTTAAGGGGAGGAACGATACGACATTTAACTTTCACAACATGAAATAGAACAGAAGTATATTTTAATACCTTTTACTGATTATCTTATTATGCATGAAAAACATGCTCAATATAATAAATGCAGAGAAGTAAAGAGAACAAAATAAAACTCTCCTTGCCATCGCACTACTCAGAGACAACCACAATTGACATTTGAGTGTTTAAATGTTCACATT